CCGAGCCGAGCCGGAGGGGCGAGCCGGGCCGGGCCGGGTCAGGGCAGCTGCAAGGCACCAGCTTCCGAGAGCAGAGCCCAAGTCCCGGTCCCCCCAGCACCCACGGCACGTCCCAGGGGTCCAGACCGGTTGCTCCGTTTTCCGTGGTGTACCCGAGCGCCCAGTGCACTCCCGGCTCAGCCCAGCAGCCACGCAGCAGCAGAGCGGGACACGGGCACCCATGGGTGCTGCACTGCGCCGAGCTCGGGCCAGGCTCAGTAGCTCTCCCACGGCCGCGTGGACAGTGCGCCCTCCGTGTCCCCGAGGACACCGTCCCCGCCACGCAGCCCTGTGTGCCGCGCGGGCCCCCGCGGATGCACCGCTGCAGCCAGAGCAGTGCTGCTCAAGTGGCCGCGCAAGGGCAAGGGTGGCTCTGGCCTGTCCCACCCTGACCATTGTCGGCAGCCCCCATCACCCCAGGAGTTTTCTGGGTGACCAGGAGTGACCTGTGAACACTCAGGCCGGCGGGAAGGCCGCTTACGGGGAGGCCGCAGTGCTTGTGTCTCTGCCAGCGCCCCGGGGGCTCCTGGGCTGGGTAAACAGGAGAGCAGCTCACCAGGAATGACAAACGGGGAGCGCTCTGCAGCACCCAGCCTGGCTGTCAGCAGGGCCGCTGCGAAGCGCCCTGCCTGGACATGAATCCATCATCACCCCCAGGCACTAAGCTGGCTTGTGGGAACCAGTTCAAATGTTCCTATTTCGGGGTTTTCATCAAGCCGTGTCCCCAGSTGACCCAACCCTGTGGTGCCACCAGCTGTGCCAAGAGCCCTGTGGCAGCAGAGGTGCCGGAGCGGCTCCTCCAGGCCATGCCCCTTCCCCTGCTGGCGCCAGGTCCGAGCCGAGGGAGGAGCGGGAAGCACCGGCCATGCCAGTGGGTTTCCACAAAGCTCCACTGATGGCTCACAGGGTTGTCCATCGCCTACAGTGCAGGCTGCAGCTTGGCCCAGGCACGGCCTCCAGGACCGGGCTCTGCTCTGTCTTCCCAGCCGCTCCCTGCTCCTCTCCTCTCCCTCTCCCCTCATCCTACCCGGAGCTCGGGCTCCCTGCTCCTCTCCTCTCCCTCTCCCCTCATCCCGCCCGCAGCTCCGCGATGCGGCTGAGCGGCACCGACGCCAACGGGCAGCCCTGCTCGAGGCGCTGGGGCGAGGAGGTGCCTGGTGAAGAGCCAAGGGCGGCTTTACAGCCGGAACGAACAAATGCCCCGCGTCACCGTCGGTGATATAAGCAAAACAGCAACCCATGGCAGAGGCTTAACTGCTCCCAGCGGCAGCCCAGAGCACAGTGCCGCTTGGGAGCAGCGTGGAGCTCCGGGAATGGCCTCCCTTGGCTCCTCTGGAGCATCCCGTCGAGCCCGCCCGGGAGCCGAGCTCTGTGGAGAGATGTTCTGCCGCCCCGGGGTCCCTGGTGGGGTGTTCATGCCTTGGCCACACACACAGACACCCTGTAGGCTGGGGCATGCACAAGGAGAGCTGTTATTTTGGAAACAAATACTCACTTTGCTCCCTCTGCCCACTTCTGCAAATAATTATGCCCTTATCCACAGGCACGAATTGGCAGGAAGCAAACCCTGAGCGGAGATGTCCGTGAGCAGCCTGGCCCTTGGGACTCRGAGCTTAGGACTGGGAATACTTGGTGGAGACCCTGGGAGAGGGGAGGGTGCTCCCTTGGGCTGCAGTCCTGGGGAGAAGGCCACAAGGAGGAGAAAGCCACYGCCCTTTGGCGGGTCCTCATCTTCRCCACATGCTCTGTGGGGAGTGTGGGCAATTCCCCCTCTTCCGTGCATGTCCTGGGAGCATAGCTTGGTGCAGACCTCCCTCTGCATTGGGAGAATGGTTCTTTTCCTGCTCCTATCCTGAGTGGGTACCTGTGCTTTAAGTTGCAAGCTTTTTCTCTATCCTTTATCCTGTACGYRTCTCTTCCTGTCCCGTCTTCCCCARGAGGAGGTCTCCTCTGCTTTCTTGCTACCAGGAGCATTGCACCGGGYGCTGCATCCCCAGCTGGTGGCACCATCTGGCCTGCGCAGAGTGCTGCCGTGAGGCGGCCTCCACCCTGGGCTCTATGGAGGGACCTGCTGCTCCCGCTCTGCTCTCCCACTGCAGAGCAGGGGTCTGCGCATGGCCCCGTGTGTGAGGATGGCTTCATCTGCACAGGGTTCCTCTCCGCCTGCTGCTGCTCACGGCTTGTTACCGTCACCCTTATGCCCAGCACGGGGACCAGCTCCTGGCAGCTCCGGCCCCGTGCCAGCCTCCTCCGCGCTGCTTCCCCGAGCGCCTGCGCCTCCAGAGCGCTGCGAGGCTGTTTGCTCTCGTTAGCTGACACTAATAACCTGCACCGGGGACTCCAGGTCGTTGTGAGCCAGCTGGGACGTCACCGGCAGAGCCACAACATCATTTTCTTTCCAGATGCCACAGCCATCTGATGAGGGGTGGCCTGGTCTTTGTGCGGGTCCACATGGGCTTTCGTGGCATCTGGCTGCTTTGCTGGGAAGGGCAAGTCATTAAGTGCAAACAAGGAAGGGCCATGATGTCCAAACCAGGACGAAGAGGGCTGCTTGGTGCAGCTCACTGTCCCCAGGGCAGGCACGTCCCCACTGCCACCAAGACACTCTGCAGGGGCCCCCGGGACGGCGTTTGGCAGAGCTGCACATGGGCACGTGCAGCAGGACACGGCTGCAGGGCACGGACTGCACTGTCCTCCTGCCTCGGGCTCCCGTGCCCTGTGCACCAGGGTTCAATGCCGCGATGTCCCCAATGTGTCCAGGAGAGGGGCAGCCCATGTCCCCTGCTTGCAGAATGAGGGCAGAGCCACCCCGGGCACTGCTGGGGACCACAGGCTGCTCCAGCRTGGAGCGAGGTGAGGCCAGCGTGGGCTCGTCCTGCCAGTGCTGCAAATGGAGCCTGCGGAGCTAATCCCGGTGTTTAAAAAGAGGGGGGAAAAATGAACCTTTGATTTATAGCCCCGACTGCTACAGCAGCAGTGCTGAGGATAGCGAGGGTAACGCGGGGCAGCCTTTAATTTCCGTGATGAAAATGGGCTGYGTAAGAGACGCAGCCTGGCTGGCCGCTGCGGGCCTGAGCTGCCAAGACGCCGGCGCCAGGCAGGGCACGTCGCCCTGCCACGTCCTGGCCACCGCTGTGCCGCGCTCAGCGCTGTCCCCAGGGCACATCGGGGCTGCACAGAGCGTCACCAGGGGATGAGGGATCCGAGATGTGGCCCGGGGAGCTGCTCCCGAGCCTGAGGCTGAGCTGAGCTCGGCGCCCGCAATGTGGAGGCCAGTGGAGCCCAAGGACTCGTTCTTCTCCCYGCAGCTCTTGCCAGGTAGCCTGAATGTGCGGGAGGTTTCATCCTGTGGGAGGTTTTAGGTGGCTCCGGTCGCTGTGTCCGGACCACAGGGCTCGGCCTTGGTGCTAATCTGTCCCCCTGCACTGGGCTCTGTATCCCCCCAACTCCTGCACCAGCAGCTTCAGGAGCCTCCTGAGACTGCGGGGCTGGGAGCTGGAGCTGCTTTGTCCACCCTGGACATCACATACTCTGTCAGGGAGGGAGTCTCTGCTCTGGCCTGGGGACATCCCCACAGCCACAGAGCCCCGTCAACTCCAGGCTCCCCGCGCTCACCCTGCAGCCCTTCCATGCTGCCCCATGCCCAGCTGCCTGCACCTTCCCTGGGGCTCTTCCCAACTGCAAACGGTCCCAGGCCGGCTCCATCCTCCGCATGCACCAGCTGCTCCCAATCAGCTGCCCCCTGGTCCCCCTCTGCTTCTCTCCCCTTTCGAGCATGGAAGAGTGTCCTGGGAGCTGCAGAGCCCTGGGGATGGAGCCCCGTGCTGCGCGGCAGCTCCATGGGCTCCGGCCGCGGCTCCGCGCTGCTCCCAGCTGCGAGCGCTCGCAGCGAGGGGCGCGAGCGGGGCCGCGCTGCGCAGCCCGCAGCAGCACATGTTGCTAATTGAGCCTTGGAGCTCGGCGCCAAGCCGTGGCACAGAGGCTCTGCCCGCCTCTCAGAAGGGCTGCCAGGTCCCCGGCTTTGAAGCCGGTGGGGGTGGCTGCAGGCGGGGGCTGCGTGTGCACATCATATTTGGCACATGGGCCTGTGGCCAAGTCCATAGACCCACGGCCSGGCCGGGCTGGGGAGCTCATCCCAGCTAGGGGTAGGACACGGGTGGCAATCTGCACCCCAGCCCKGCCAAGGATGCATGGGGAAGGTGGGACCCATGGGTGCTGGTGGCTGCTCTTCTCCCTGTTTCCTTTTGCAATGGAAGATGATGACACCAGTAGCAATTGCAGACCCCCGGGGAACAGAGCAGCTGGTCCTGGAGGTGCTGAGGAAGAAGAGGTGTCCGGGGGCCTCCAATCCCAGGTCTCTGATGAGGGTCGGTCGTGCTGCTGCTTTGGGGCTGTCCCCTGGCAGTCCCTGAGCCCTGRCGCCCCCGGCTTGGCAGGGCCACAGGGATGGAGCCACTTGCACCCAGCCTCTCCAGCTGCTGGCTGAGGTAACGCAGGAAGGTCCTGGCAGAGCATCTGGATCATGGGGGTCCCTGCGACGGGACACGTTGCTTATACGCGTTTCCCAACGGGAATGGAGGCGCTTCGGGTGCTTCTCTGGCTGCCCCTGCAGCCGGACCAGGGGGAGATTTGGCCTCCCCCCTTTCACCGTGTTCACAGGCGGCCCACGGAGCCTCTGCCCTCCCCGCACCGGGCCTGTCCCCTGCCTGTCCTTGTCCCCCGCCCGTCCCTGTCCCCTGCCCGCCGGGGCCATCCCCGTCGCTCTGCTGCCCCCGCGCGGCCGCGGCCCCCCGTGTGCCCGCCCCGGCCTCTGCCGAGCGCCCCCGCGGGCCGGGCCGGGCCGGGCCGGGCCGAGCCGAGCCGCCCGCGCCCCTCGCCGCGGCCTCGGGGCTGCTCCCCCGCGCCGCCTTTGCGGCACGGTTTGCACACGCAGGAGCTCCCCGCGGTGCAAGGGGCTGCGCAGCACCTCGCCGGTGCGCGCTGTGCACGGCCGCGCTGCGCACRCTCCTGACAMGCGTGTGCACACACGTGTGCAAGCCATGTGCTGGCACATGGTGTGTGCACGCACAGCCATGCACAGTGCGTGTAGTGAATGGTCCTGACACCGTGTGCGCACAGGTGCAGGAGAGCAGTGATGCTCTCTCTGCTCTGCACAAAGGCTCAGCCCCTGCATCCTCGTCTTCACTCCCTCATCCTCTCTCCTGGCTTCGGCTCACATGGCTCCCTCCTTGCATGGGCACTGTGATCTCTCCCTGCACTACTGCCACTGTGGGTCCTCCATATGTGCTGCCCYAAAAAGCTGGGAACTGGTCCGCAACAGCCCCCGTGCCCTGCCTGGCCTTGCACYCTCCCTTCCCTTCCCTCTTGCTCCTTTCCACCTTCCCACCTGTCTCTCTTGCCCTCCCGCAGCTGCRCACGCTGCGGATGCACCCAGTGCCCAACGCGTTTCCTGAGCAGCTGSCACATCCAGCTGCAAAGGGCCAGCGAAAGGGCTGTGACAGCCTGTGGTCACCACGAGACCCCTGCAGCGAGTGCCTTGTGGGCAGGGAACGCCGGGATGCACCCGCAAGGACCAGCACCCACAGGGCAGAAGGGGCAGTAGGGCCCCAGTGCCCCCGAGGGGCTGCTCTGAGCTCTGGCTGTGTCTCACGAAGGGCAGCCGGCCCCTGGAAGCACGTGGGGTGCTCCGGGGTGGGATGAGCCTGGATCACCTGTGGGGAGCCCACAGCACAGGGGGCAGCTGCTGAAGTGTCATGCGACGCTGCGCTGCACTGTGCCACACCTTGGTGTGTGCACACACGGGCCGCACCAGCTCCTTCGTGCCGTGCACTGCTRCACCGTGCTGTGCCATGCCGTGCCGCACCGTGCTGTGCAGTGCCATGTTACACTGTGCCAGCTGCACTGTGCTGTGCCGTGCTCTGCAGTGCAATATTACACTGCGCCAGTTGCACTGTGCTGTGCTGGCTGCACCGTGCTGGCTGCACCGTGCCATGTTGGCTGCACCATGCCATGCCGTGCTGCGCCGCACTGCACTGTGCTATCTGCACCGTGCCATGCCGTGCGGTGCTGCACTGTGCGGAGCAGCACGGGCACTAGGGGCCAGGCGAGCTCCACGCAGCAGCCGGCAGCACCAGGGTGTCTGTGAGCGGCAGCAGCGGCAGTGCCGACCCAGCACCTCCAGCCCAGCCCCGCTAGCCCCACGCACCCCCCAGGCCTAACCCCTCATCCCAACCTCCCCCATCCCAAATTCCCTCACCCTGGGCACCCCAACACCTCTGGCACAAGCACCCTAGCTGCCCAAAGCACCTGGATTGCCTCTTGGCTGCTCCAAGCAGGCTGTGGGTTCTGAGCTTCCTGATGCTCCCAGCATCCCCACCAGCCCCCAGCACCCCAGAGTGCTCCGGCATCCTGGGATCCAGCAGCCTCAGACCTGCCGGCAGCCCCAAGCACCCTGCACCATGAACAACTGGGTGGCCGAGCATCCCCCAGTCCCGAGCACCCTGCAGCCCAGAGCACCCTGCAGCCCTGGACAACCCCACAGCCCCAAGCGTCCTGGCAGCCTCAGTGCCCCCGGCCTTGGGCCTCTTGCTAAAGCCCTGCCAGGAGGTCCACGGCCACGTGTGCTYGGCGGAGATCCGGTGCTCCTGCGGGTGCGCGGCTTTCAGCTCGGTTTATTCAAACGCAGAGGTGGGAGCGATACTGCGGGGGAGGCAGCCAAGAAGGTTCCCACTGCAGCTCTGCCCCGGGGCCGCTGCGGCTGCATAGCAAACATGGGAAACGTCCCCTGCTCCTCGCGGTCAGGTCAGACGGGGCCGGGAGCTCTTGGGGCTGGGGCTGCTCCTCTGCCAGGAGCTGCTTCTTGCATTGAAGTCAAGGAGGAAGAAAAGGATACGGGAAATCCCAGATGTAATGGGATGCCCGGAGCCACTGCTCTGCTGCTGGAATCTGGTTCTGCCACCTGTGCTTGCACAGGCACATGCACCCACACACATGCACGCACAAGCACGTGCACATATGCACGCATGTGCACACATGCACATATGCATACGTGTGCACACACATATGTACACACAGGCGGAGCGCAGCCTGCAGCCCTGGAGCTCTGCTCTTCATGGGYGAGTCCCACTGGACCTGTCACCTGCTCCCTGGGCAGGGCACAATGCACAGCCCCGCGCAGCAGGGAAGGGAGGGAAAAAGTAGTCATGGAGGGGAGCAGGAGGAGAAGAGATGCCACCTCCTGGGGGAGACGGAGGAGCTGCTTCCCCAAGTGGGGCCGCAGGGCCACCCTGATCCCCATGGAGCTCCCAAACCATTTCCTGATGTTTAATCCTAATGTCYCCTGCTCCAGCGCACGTGTTCACCACGTGCAGCCGAGGCCGACCTCGAGCCATCCCGCTGGGACCAGCGCTTCCTCGCACCAAGGAAGGAGCAGAGGCCGGTGCAGCCTCTGCTTGGAACATCAGCTCTCTCCCTGCCTCCCTCCCTCTCTTGTCCAGCCTCTGCCCAAGACTGGAAYCACCTGGGGCACTGGGGCAGCTGTGGGAGCAGTGGGACGAGGGCCGGGCAGTGGGTGCTGAGCGGGGCCCTGCAGCAGCTGTGTTTGCTTTCCATCCGCTGCAGGGAACAACAGGGGAGTTTTTTTCTTTTTCTCTTTCTTTTCTTTTTTCTTTTTTTTTTTTTTCCTTATTCCATTATATTTTCCGCGGCTTTGTGTGTCCTTCGGCAGCCAGAAAGCCTCGTGTAAACATCCTGCCTCGCGGGGCGAGCAGGGAGCGCCGTGCGGAGGCGCCGGCTGCTCCCGCCGCTGCTCCCCAGCCATGGGCACCGGAGCCGGCCCAGACCCCAGGATGCATCTCCYGGAGATGTTCCCCGATGGACACAACCCGGGAAAGGGTGTTTCCATAAGATCCATCCCCGGAGGACGAGGGAGGGAGATGTTCCTGCGGGAYGCGGGGCTGGGATGGGCTGGCGCAGCCACGTGCACCCTGCATGGAGACGGGGATGCCAGGCCCGGGYCTGATGGCTCCACGAGGACACAGGGACAGCAGGCGGTGGTGGCAGCTCAATCAGCGGCGCTTGTTCCCACTCGTGGGCAGCCGGGTTAATCGCGGCCGCCTCCGCTGCGAGGCTGATTTTGGCTGCTGAGAGCAAAACCTGTGGCTATTATGCTTGGGAAATTGCTCAGGTTCTGGCTGGGTTACCTGTGTCCAGGGAAACGGATAGCGGTGCCCGCCAGGACGGAGGCCGGCGGGATGGGAGCTGCTCCGTGTCCGAGGATGCGCGGGGGAGCCGGGGCGGGTGCCGGCGCGGGCGGCCTCGTGTTTCCGTGTTTCACTTTACACTTTTCCTTGTGGTGCTTTAATAGACACGAGGGCGCCGGGAGCTGCCCCGGGTGCTCCGTTTTATTTGGGAGATGCCAGTAAATAAGGGGACACAGGCGCCCCGCCTGGCCGGGCAGCCTCCCTGGAACCTGCGCGGGGCCGCTTTAATGAGCACTGTTAATTAGCGCTGGCCCCAGCGCGGGCCCCGGGCGAGGGGCTGCGGGCCCCGGCGCAGCCGCGTCCCCTCCCGCCGCGATAAGGAGCGGCGGGCGCCTGGCCCGCGGCCTTTCCCTGCTCCTGCCGGGCCCTGAGGACAAACATTCCCGGGATATTTGTCGCCTTCGTCTGGATGCAGTATCCTCCAGTGAAAGAAAAGGGGAAAAAAACCAAATAAAAGAAAAGCCGGTTCTTCCAGCACTCCCCTTCCTTCCCGCTTCAGCTTTCTCATTGCATGGCTGCTCAGGGTGAGGAAGAGGAGGACGGGAGGAGGAGGCCGGGAGGCTTCGCAGCCCTCGGGGTGCCTGTGAGCGGCACCGTCCCCGCGAGGCTCCAATGCAAACAGGAACGGGGCGAGYGGGCGCAAGGCAGGGCGTGCAAGGCAAGGAGCAATGTGACGATTCCCCCCGGAAAGCGCAGGTTTCAGCACCCTGAAACTGCAGTTTTGGCGCCCGCCRGGCCGTGCGGGGCTGGTCCTGCCCCTGCGAGGAGTGCGGGGGCTGCGGGCGCCTCAGCCCGCAGGAGGCTCCGGCCTCGAGCTCTCCGCACGCGGCCGCGCTGCAGCGGGGGCAGCTTGAGTTTGTTTTTCCCTCTAATAAAAAACTAATAAAGGAGAAAATGAAAAAATAATTTTCAGGAATTTGGCTGTGTCTGCCCAGTTTCCTCCGCCCGCCCCGCGGGGGTGCGCGGGTGTCAGCGTGGGAGAGGGAGGTCACCGTGGCCGGGGTCTTCTCCCTCCCTTCCTTCCCCACCCCATTTCTCTTCCCCATCTCCTTCCTTTCCTCATTCCTTCCCCACCCTTTCCCCTTCCCTTTCTCCTTCCTCCTGCCTTCCCTTTCCTCCTCCCTTGCCCTTCCTCATCCCCGCGAGGCCGGTGCCGTTCCCGTCCCATCCCGCCGGGCGCACGTCTCCCCAGCGAGCCCGTCCGTGTTATTTACGCTCGCAGCAGGACCCTGCGCGCGCTTTCATCCTGCCTCTCTAATCCAAACCAGAGGCTCCGGGGGCTTAGGAGAAGTCCTGGCGCTCCCTCCCCCCGGCCAGCCCCACTCCTTGGAAGTTGAGATAAGGAGAGATTTATACGGGCGAGGAAGGCGGTGGCGAGCAGGGGGTTAAGAGAGAGTCACTCTGGGGGGCTCTTTGAAGCTAAATTTAAGGTGCTCTTATCAGTGCTCCAGGCGATGCCCCCTCGGGGGCGGCCTGGGCCGGGGGGCTGTTTGCCAGGGCTGTCCTGCCCGGTCCAGCGAGCGGCGGCTGGAACGGAGACCGACTGTCCCCACTGCGGCCTGGTGGCATGCAGCGGGGTGCACCAGGGTGCAGGGGGGTGAATAGCAATGCAGCGGGGTGCAGGGGGATGCAGCGGGGTGCAG